ATGTCTATTCCAGTACGGCGGAACAGGACTTTGATCATGTTCCGTACGATCCTCCAGTCTAGGTTGTCCAGTCCACAACCAAGCTTCGGACTCGCCAGCTTCTGTAGGCTATTCTCCAGAGTTCCGCGGAGTTCCATTACTGCATTCCAAAGGTGTCTATAAGTTGGGTTATCAGAGCATCTTCCTTTAGTTACCAGGTAATAGATATTGCGTCGTCCGTCAGGCAAGCACAACAGTCTTTTTCCCTTCTGTACTTGGTCTTTAAGATGTTCCAAACCGATAAATCTGCGTTTGAACTCACTGCTCATTCTGAGATCCTTTGAAACGCAATGGGCCAGAGAATATTCCTTGGATATGGCAAAGAGGTCTCGTCGGATTTTTTGCGTCACTCCAAATCTCCTGTTAACACGGGGGCCTTCCTTCATGAACTCGTCGAATCTGGGCTCGGAAGGAATAGTTTTTAATAATCTGGCCCGCGCCTCCTCATTTGCACCGGCGAATGGAGCCGAGCGATTAAAATGGACTACCTTCGGCTTCCCATTTAGAGTTTTCTTAATTCGATAAATCACGTCGTTAATCCTCTTCACTATCACTCTTCACATAGGGTCCTTCCCAATTCTGTTGGAACTTAGGTGATAGTCCACGGCGACGACGAGGATTATACAACCAAACAAGATCTCCAGTTTGGTAACCACCCACTGTAGCCTTGATGTCGTAGTTTTCTTTAATCCTATCACTAGCAATCTGCGCAGGTTGGTAACATAATCTTCTCCAGCCAAGTCATCTCCTGGTTTACAGCCGAATTTGAGGTCACAAGGTAGTCGTAACTCCCTTCCAAAAAGGACACTGGCAGGTGTTTGGCCAGTCGTTTCGTGGACAGACGAACGGTATGCCATTATTAATAAAGGCAAATAACGGTCCCAGTCCCTTTAGTGGTCAGACACTACCTTACAGAGATATTTAATCAAGGTCCGGTTCATTCGTTCAACTATGCCGTCCGATTGTGGATGGAGTGGATTGGTTCGAGTTTTCTTTATTCTTAGGAGCTCGCATATTCCACGGAATATAGCCGATTCGAAATTCCTCCCTTGGTTTGAGTGCAACTCCAAGGGCACCCCAAAACGACTGAACAACTCTTTCACCAGTTCCTCAACTATGGTTTCCGACTCTTGGTTCGGAAGGGCTTAGGTTTCAACCCACTTAGTAAAATAGTTCATAATGATCACGATGTACTTGTTACCTTTCTCGAACTCTGGGAATGGACCCGCCACAACGATTGCGATTCGTTCGAAGGGGCCACCGACATTGTATTGACGCATTGGCGCCCTTGCCCTTTTCTGTGGCCCATTACTGGCAGCACAGGTGGTACACTTCTTAAACCAATCCTTGACATCTTCCTTACAGTTCACCCAATACAATCGCTCTCGAACTTTCCCAAGCGTCTTATTCACTGCAAAATGGCCACCAGATGTTCCGTCATGAAGATACTGCAACACCTCTCTAACCTTGTTTTCAGGAGTAACCAGTTACTTCCTATCTTCCTCTCCGTCTGGACTTTCAACAATCCGCTTCAGGATGCCATCCTCCAAAACCATTGAGTCCCACTGAGCCCATAACGATTTTAGTACTTGGGTACAGGAAGAAACTTGCTGCCACGTTGGCCGTTTTTCGTCTTTTTTCAATTCCATTATCTTCTTTAAGTCCGGGTCGTTTTCTTAGTCGTGCTTTATATTGTCAGGTAACCATTCGTCATCGATTATCGTGACGCGTCGAATGGCCTCTTTATTCTTTTCCATTCGACCTAACTGCTTGCAGTCTGTATGACGTCGAGTACTTGGGGAAGGAGTACTTTTCCTACACTGCCTCCTCGTATGTCCTAGGTCGCCGCAATTCCAACATCTTAGCTTTCGAGTTTCTTTATCGAACTTGGAGATGATTCGGCAGACGGTTTCTTCTAAAGATTCTGACGAATACAATGGCCGAACCCTTCCTTGTTTGCTATAGGCCCGTTTAACAGTTTCGTACTCCAAAGCACGAGCCAATGCATCAGCTAGCGTCTTAGGTCGGTCAAGGCGTATTCGTTGTTGAGTGTCACTGTCCCGAAGTCCATCAGTAAATGCCTTCACTGCCAACCTTTCCATCAATTCTTCTGGAGGATTCGGATAAGGCAGTCGAGACAGTCTCGCAATATCGGCCTCGAATTCTTGTAGGGATTCCGTTGGTTTCTGCTGACGGGTTTTCAGTTGGATGTGATACACCGTTGTTAAATGAGCCTCGCCGTAGCGCAACTCCAACCGTTTTACGAACTGCTCATAATCCGCCAATTCTTCCGGGGAAAGGATGTTCAAAATGTCACATGCTTCTCCACGAAGCGCAACAGTCAACGCAGTGGCTTTTTCTCCAGGCGCCCAGTTATTCGCCTTAGCAGCTGCCTCGAATTTTTTGTCGTGTGTGGTCCAGGAGGACTTTCCGTCAAACGTTGGTGGTTTTACTCGTGTTCTTGACTCTATACCGTTTACATGACTGATTTGGTTGGCTTCGTTGAGTGTACTAGATGCACCAACATCCCCTTCGATTGGTTTTGTCTTTCCATTAAAAATCAATTCTTCCAGCACTTTTATCTTCTCTTCTGTTTCTTGAATATTCTTATTAAATTTTTCTTCCCATTTATTCTCCAAACTTTTAGTGTTTCCTTCCAATTTATTTTCCAAACCTTTACTGTTCTCTTCCAATTTATTTTCCAATTTTTCTAAACTTTTCATCATTTCGTCTTCGAAGAGGAACGTTTCAGGATCATGGCTTTCTCAACACTTCCGCGAGCTGCCACTGAAGTTCCGCTTGGTTACCGCNTGTAACTACTCCCATTTCAAGGACAAAATCAAACTTTTTTAATAGCTTTTTACAACTCGGGAAATGGTTAATAGAACAACATAATTTGTTTTATTTGGGCATTCACTAAGCAGCAGCAACTTCTGATACCTTTAATTTATATGTACTGTAATGTTCGTGGGTTCAACAAATTAACTTTTAAGACTCACAACGACAAAAACTATTTATTTACACTAGTTATTATTGAACACTATTAAATTATTACTAACTTAAGTAATTATTCTATTTATTTACACTACTGTTACTATTCACTGTTCTATTTATTTCACTTCTATCACTGTCAATTTATTTCTTGATTCACTCCTGCAACGGTCTATTTAATTCTACTCTACCTCGGCGATCGTCTCTTCCTTTAAATACTCCCTTGCCTCATTTCGGGAACATTCCCGAGCCGTCCGGAAAAGTTTCGTTTTCTTCGAATTGTTTAATTGCTTTCCCGGAACGCAGGTACGACACACACACGTTTACAGATATGGCGCACATGAAGAAAGGCGCCCGCGGCTAGTCAGCGAATCGATAAGCCGCTCACACACACGTATGCCCCGTCCCACACAAACACGCTCGTGTTCGCTACAGTACTTTTAGAAGTGTTTGTGATGTAGTGTTACAGAAGGATGTTAAAACTACTATGGATAAAAATAATTGGATACGAGGAGGTATTCGAAAGAGTAGTAGAACTGAGGACGTTGTGACAAGATAAGTTGGTAGCACACCTTCTCAAAAATTTTAAGGGCTAGTTAGAGTCATATTAAAAGCAAAAACAGAAGTTAAGAAGGTAAGAGGTAGACTGTATTACTATCGCAAGATGTTAGGTGTAGGCTACTCGAGATTTCCAGAAATGCAAAGATTGACTCAAGATATAAAACGTGGAGGTGTGGGCCCAACCGGTCTTCGGCCTAAAGACCCACGGATGAAGCAGGAAGAAGGCCATATTTCCCTTATGAACAGAATACTCAATTGAAGTTTTCGTAAGGCAAGTTACCGCTTAAGAATTATTCGAAAATACCTCACTTTCGAATATGGTCTGATGGAGCGCCAGAAGCACAAAAGTTTTTTAAATACACAATTTCTCAACAATTAGATTGGACCAAGAGTAAGCCGCTTGACCAGAAAGGGCTTCAAATCTTACTCATATTGATTTTTCCTTATAACTATTTTTAAGTACTAATTTTATAGGAAAGCATAATATCTAGATAATAATGCAATAAATTCGAAATGTATTCAAACATGTTTCTAAAAGCTGCATTTGAATTACGTATCCGGAAGGCCTTTCGTTACTTCATTGTCAAACATAAAATCAGATGAAATTTTACAATTAGTATGCAAATGTCAGCAGATGGCGATTTCCTAAAATTTTTTTTTGTTAAATACGTATTTTGGAAACTCTTTAAATATGCTATCCAAATACTACAAATGGCGCAGTAAACGCCATCTGTAGCACGATGTTACATTTTAGGATTACATATGCTCCAACAAGGTCCACTTGTATGGATATCTACTTGCTGAAAACGAATCCTGGCGTAGCCAAACTCAACGTGACAGGCACGTTAGCTTAATCGAATAAAATAATTCGAAGTGGTAATCCTATAATGTAGCATCGTGCTACAGATGGCGTTTACTGCGCCATTTGTAGTATTTTCTAAAACGCACTGTTAAGGCAGTAGGTAAAAGTTGGTCTGTGTTCTGTCGGAGCTGTCTGCGACGCGCTGATGAGATCCAAATAGATCGAAATCGCGATCCGCGTCTGGCAGTTTCGACAGAATACAGACCACTTTGAAATTATAATATACTATGCAAATATTATTTCTGCTCACTTCAATTTAATACACAAAATAAATTGTTAAATAAAGTTAGACCGCGGACACTTTCCTTCCTTAGACTTTTCACTACGTTAGTCTAGCATACTTGAAGAATGTTGTTCACCAAAGTCTACCTGGTTACAAAATTTTCGAAGTGAAAACCTTCGTTTACTCCACTATATTGACCAAACCCAAATTATTTTTAAACCATTTTACTAAGACAATAATTTTTCTACAATAATATTTTTTATTTTTTTATTAAATATGTTAACAATAATAAATATGAATATAAATTCCATATGAAAAATTGAATTACGTAGGTAAACTTAAAAGCAGTGCAGTTGCTCTTTTCACCCAAAAATCGGATGCTTCCATTCCGCTTTTTAAATCGACAGCTACAACAAAAGCTGGATAACCCTGAACTCCACATCTTACCGGGTAATAATAACATGGGCAAACGTATAAACCTACAAAGTACATGTTATTAGTAGATTATTTTTAAAAATCAGATACTGGGCTTGTACGTATGTAGTCAGTCTAGTGTACACGACTATGACCTTGAAACGTGAAACGACATGCCGTTTGATTTTCTCCTCGTTCTATACCCACTTATTGTACTACAATAAGTCTTATTACCTATCCGTCAAAAAAGTACATTAACAAATTAAACAAAAGAAGAGATAAAACTTCGGACGCTAATTAGACACCTATATTGTTAGTAGGGATTTGAAAAGGGACGAAACCATTACGATGCAGACATATATGCGTCGGTCACTCTCGTGACTGCTTCGAGTATTACGCGCATGCTCGACAAGTGAACATGCGTATAAGCGCGTATCATTTACCCCACCAGACTCGTGACGCTTGCGCACAACGGGTCGAGTAGTCTAAAAAGAGATAGGAGGAGTCGTTTGCCGTCTCACATACCCCGTGACACTTCCACTTACGGCCGCTAGCAATATAAGAGTATTGGATATACGGTTCTACCCCTGAACCAGCACGACTTTATGAGAATTGGGGCGAACAACAGGACCTTGTTTGTTGTTTAGAGGCACCATTGTAATGTCATTGATATGTGCCATTGGGCAGACTGCGCTTTTCGGTGGTCACATACGAACTAGTGCCAGGGTGTTATCTGTATTTGTTGGTATAGCAATTCATAGCCAAAATAAATAAATACATGATAAAATTCTAATTTNGAAAGTTTCAGGATCATGGCCATCCTTTTTCAACGCCTCCGCGAGCCGCCACTGAAGTTCCGCTTTGTTACCGCTTGTCTCTTCATCCCGTTCTTCCAATTCTCTTCTTAACTCAGCTACTTTTAATTCGTACAACTTCTTTGCCATTGTAATGTCTTTTACTCAACCACACACCTGACAGCAGTTGTAATGTTCGTGGGTTTTAACAAATTTACTTTTGAGACTCACAACGACAAAAACTATTTATTTACACTAATTGTTATTGAACACAATTAAATTATTACTATCTTAAGTAATTATTCTATTTATTTACACTACTGTTACTATTCACTGTTCTATTTATTTCACTTCTATCACTGTCAATTTATTTCTTGATTCACTCCTGCAACGGTCTATTTAATTCTACTCTACCTCGGCGATCGTCTCTTCCTTTAAATACTCCCTTGCCTCATTTCGGGAACATTCCCGAGCCGTCCGGAAAAGTTTCGTTTTCTTCGAATTGTTTAATTGCTTTCCCGGAACGCAGGTACGACACACACACGTTTACAGATATGGCGCACATGAAGAAAGGCGCCCGCGGCTAGTCAGCGAATCGATAAGCCGCTCACACACACGTATGCCCCGTCCCACACAAACACGCTCGTGTTCGCTACAGTACTTTTAGAAGTGTTTGTGATGTAGTGTTACAGAAGGATGTTAAAACTACTATGGATAAAAATAATTGGATACGAGGAGGTATTCGAAAGAGTAGTAGAACTGAGGACGTTGTGACAAGATAAGTTGGTAGCACACCTTCTCAAAAATTTTAAGGGCTAGTTAGAGTCATATTAAAAGCAAAAACAGAAGTTAAGAAGGTAAGAGGTAGACTGTATTACTATCGCAAGATGTTAGGTGTAGGCTACTCGAGATTTCCAGAAATGCAAAGATTGACTCAAGATATAAAACGTGGAGGTGTGGGCCCAACCGGTCTTCGGCCTAAAGACCCACGGATGAAGCAGGAAGAAGGCCATATTTCCCTTATGAACAGAATACTCAATTGAAGTTTTCGTAAGGCAAGTTACCGCTTAAGAATTATTCGAAAATACCTCACTTTCGAATATGGTCTGATGGAGCGCCAGAAGCACAAAAGTTTTTTAAATACACAATTTCTCAACAATTAGATTGGACCAAGAGTAAGCCGCTTGACCAGAAAGGGCTTCAAATCTTACTCATATTGATTTTTCCTTATAACTATTTTTAAGTACTAATTTTATAGGAAAGCATAATATCTAGATAATAATGCAATAAATTCGAAATGTATTCAAACATGTTTCTAAAAGCTGCATTTGAATTACGTATCCGGAAGGCCTTTCGTTACTTCATTGTCAAACATAAAATCAGATGAAATTTTACAATTAGTATGCAAATGTCAGCAGATGGCGATTTCCTAAAATTTTTTTTTGTTAAATACGTATTTTGGAAACTCTTTAAATATGCTATCCAAATACTACAAATGGCGCAGTAAACGCCATCTGTAGCACGATGTTACATTTTAGGATTACATATGCTCCAACAAGGTCCACTTGTATGGATATCTACTTGCTGAAAACGAATCCTGGCGTAGCCAAACTCAACGTGACAGGCACGTTAGCTTAATCGAATAAAATAATTCGAAGTGGTAATCCTATAATGTAGCATCGTGCTACAGATGGCGTTTACTGCGCCATTTGTAGTATTTTCTAAAACGCACTGTTAAGGCAGTAGGTAAAAGTTGGTCTGTGTTCTGTCGGAGCTGTCTGCGACGCGCTGATGAGATCCAAATAGATCGAAATCGCGATCCGCGTCTGGCAGTTTCGACAGAATACAGACCACTTTGAAATTATAATATACTATGCAAATATTATTTCTGCTCACTTCAATTTAATACACAAAATAAATTGTTAAATAAAGTTAGACCGCGGACACTTTCCTTCCTTAGACTTTTCACTACGTTAGTCTAGCATACTTGAAGAATGTTGTTCACCAAAGTCTACCTGGTTACAAAATTTTCGAAGTGAAAACCTTCGTTTACTCCACTATATTGACCAAACCCAAATTATTTTTAAACCATTTTACTAAGACAATAATTTTTCTACAATAATATTTTTTATTTATTTATTAAATATGTTAACAATAATAAATA